AGCAACGCTGTTTCTCTCTAAGCTTATAGATACTGACTATGAAAGTCAAGACTGTTCACCTATTGTAATCCTCTTCAATTAAATACATTATCAGACTTAGATAGAATATTCTCAACGCCTTCATGTCTTTATGGAAAAAGGGAGCTTCCTGAAACATTCAAGTAATTTTTCCAGGGAAGTCTTTGCTTTCTGTCACTCAATACTAATAGCTACGCTGAGCATCCCTCCGATGTTACCCAACAGCAGATGCCCAAGAAAACTCAAATTATCATGTCAGAGACTGCAACATCCTATACAAATCAATTTACCATATGTAGGCTGTTTACTATCATATTCTGATTTCTTCATTCCTAACAGGGTAGTCCAAAACAAAGAGTAGCAACTCTAACATTTTCATGTTTTCCTTTGTGATACCGTTGGGCTAAACTCCACACTGCTCCCCAGCCCAGTTCTCCCAAGATGACACCCGTCACATGGAGGGCACATCGGTTCTGGCCATTGAACCTACTGTCCATCCCCTACAGAGTTCAGCAAACAGTTTCCCTGCTTCCCTCACTGTTCAGCACACAATTAAAATGACTGCTGCCTATGGATCTCCAAAGTAAAATACAAATAATCTCATTTGCAGATACTCTCAAGCTGCAAAAATTACTCATGTTAGATTGCAAACCTGATGCTTCAGCAAAGAGGACTCCAAGGAGAACACTGCTACAGTCTCTTGTATAGGCAGAGGGACAACCACAATGGCTGCATTTTCTTCCTTAACCCACATTACTAGGTTTTGCTAGGTTAACTAGATATTTCACACAGGTGTCGAGTAGGCTCCCTAGGACAGTCTGCAAAGACCCTGCCAAACCACAGCCTGCAAATGCTAACAAATACGCATTTCAAAAAACATAAAAAAAACCCAGCAAACCAAAAAACCCCCAAAACTTGCTTATCTGATGGTTATGGCCGCTTTTTAATTTTTTGTTTCCTTTGGGATGGACTAACACTTCTGCCAATAAACCACTGCTCAAATGACACATCAGTTTTGGAAATTGCTGCTCCCCAAAATTACATTATTACAACATGAGGAAGGAGGTGGGGAAAGGGGACACATCTGTGGTCGAACAGGTGTACTGAAAAAGGTGGTGTAACTAAGTCTTTTATCTCTTACGCATTTATTCAAAAGGACACGTTTCTGGTTACTTTAAATTCACAACTGCAAAATGGTGTTGTATGACCTAATCACAAAGCTGTATGGTGAACGTCACACACTTATTCAAACACATTACATATGGGACTGCTTTAACATAACATTATTTGAAAACATACAGCCTAAAAAATAATCTACATTACATGGCATGTAGTTCTACAGGCTTCTGGCTAAAGAACATATTTTATCAAAATAAAGATGAATGAGATCCCAAAATATTCATCAGGTGATTCTCTTAAAAGTATGTCAAAAGTTTTCTCCTTGAGGCACAAAAATAAATGCAGACACTAGGATTTTGTAGGAGCAAAGAAAATGTTTTCCACAATATAATTATATCTAGAGCTTCTTCCAGGCTACTCCAAATCATTTTGTGCAAGCATTTTGGTAACCGAGTCAAACACGTGAAAGTAAACAGCACAGTGAAGTAGTAGAAATAAAAATGAGATTATTTAGACCTAGTGGACCAATTTTCAACATATGGAAGGATCGAAAATTCTCCCATTAAAGTAGTTAGTAAAACCAAAATCAGTAGCACAGGCTAACATATACAAAAAATTATATGAGTTAACCATTAAAAAAAAGTGCCATGTAGATTAGATATGGGAAAAATAGTAACGGTAAAATGCCATACACTGGTGGTTTTTTTCAAGAACAAGCCTTAGGTCCAATTTTGTTTACATCTTCAGTAGATGTGTGTATCACATTCATGAAAGTTACCAATTATGCTGAACCAGGAAGAACTGCACATAAAAGGAAAAAAAAAATTTAGTGCCCTCAGAGATCAGAACTTCAAAGCTTATAAAACCCAGGATAATCCTGAAACAGGAATTAAGTAACTAGCTGCAAAAGAATAACAACAACATACTGAAAGTGAAGAAGAAACATGAAAAGTAACAATGCTCAAAGTTATTTAAAACAGTTGTCAGAAATAAAAAAAAGTACAATTTGGGTTTGCAAGACACTAGCCAGAAGACCAAAAGTTTGGTGTTCCTACACAAAAGCATCGTGTTACAGATGAAAAAAACCACCAAACAAAAACCACACTTAACAGATGACCTTCAGACTAAGTCCAACAAATCATGCATGTGGAATGGTGTTGTGGGCACCAAGACACGGAGAACTGAGCTAAAAAGCTGAAAACAAGAAAAAGTTGTGTAAAAAGAACAGACTAAAAAATAGCTTGAATAAAGTAGAAAAGAATGGAAATACACAGCTAGAATCAGTGCGTGCACATAGGTTCCAAATTAGAAAGGTGATGAGGAGTAAGTAAAATGGCACAAAATATGGCTTGGAATACTGGCATGAAGTTACAAACCAGAACTACTAAACATCATGTAAATCCTCTTGTCAGTGAGATGTAATCAGTGAAACCATCTTTGAAAGGAAGTCTAATTGTTTAGAACATATATAAAACCTCACTGGCCAAGATAATACTAAAACGCACAAGTCTACAACCCTGCTTTAGCAAGCAGATGGACTAGATAACCTAAATATTTTTTTTATCCCTAACTCCTATGATGATGTTCAGAAGATCTGACAGGCTCATGCACAATACCCTGCAGTCCTATAAGTATGTGAACAAGTACAGTAAAAAGACACTGACATCAATTATGAAGACCAGCACAAAAATATATATACTCCACAACCTCTTTGTAAGGCTACATTTGTTTTGTTTTGTTTTTAAAGGCACCTCATCCTCTAGCTATTGCCAGCTATTAAAAAAAAAAAATAAAAATCACTCTTCAGTTCGAGCAAGAGCTCAGTAGTGAGAAGGAAACATCTTTCAATTCACATTTGAACAGCCATTTCTTACATTCCAACTGTAATCAGAACGACAGTCTTTAAAAACAAGCATGCCGGCCTATTAGGTTTATGTACAGCAATTTAAACAACTGTAACTACATATTGTATTGTGTAAGCAAAAGCACAACATTCATTTCATACTCACACCATTATCCTTTGTATACACAAACTCAAGAGAACTCTTAATACTAAAACATTAAAATGCACCCATGGAGTCTTCCCTTACTAGACACATTTAATACATGTTTACAATATATATACACATATATAATATACATAACTTTTAGAATTTTTCAAATAAACCTTTGTAATTTCCTCTTCAAAAAGAAATAAAATAATGACACAGAAGGAATATGAGTCAGGTACACAGAACTATCACAAAGTTGAATGCTCAGTTTTGCAGCCAAGTTTCCCCCTCTCCATCATAACCAAAACACTTTATAAAAACTAAATAATCTGAATTACTCTTGTAGTCATCTGTTTCATGGTAAAAGTTCTAATCTTATCTATGGAAATATATTGCATATCAATATTATGAAGTGACACATCTGAATATTCTGAGCAATAAAAGGTATTCCAGGATATTTTAGCAGTAAATATAACATGTTGCAGGCTCAAACAGCACAGGTCAACCTTTTATTCTAAATAATATAGTTGATTTAAACTCTGAGATTAGCTTCAAATGTGGTCCCATCCCCAAATGCCACTCAAATACAGTCAAACCCTATGTTGATATCTTTCAATGATTCCTTTTTAAATAGAAGTGTCAGTTTAAAGGTAAAGATTTATTTATCAGTTTCCAGTCTTAACCTCAGGCTGGTATGTGGAAGAGTTGCATTGGGTTCTTTCCTACTCACATCAGCATCAGAAGCCATCTCCAGCAGAAGTTCTGCTTTCCATTCTTATTAGAGGAAAACACCAACTTCAGGCTTATGAGCAATAACAACTCTGATGATGACACATAGAAAAGAACCCACTCATCTTCCTTTAAGAAGAGGCAAAAAGCCTAAAAGATCAGATTAAAAGTTATTTGCCATTCGAATCAACAGAGAAGCTCTGAATAGATAGCACATCTGTTGAGAAATTACAAGAAGTACTCATTCTTCAGGTCACTTAATCAATGGCACAACACGTCCAGTGAAGTGGACAAGTTAAAAAGTTCCAGAAATGGTGAAGCTGGGAAATACTTCTAGAAGTAGCAGAATCTCTCAAACTGATGGAACTTCATATAGTTACCACCTACTGCATTAGTAAGACTCATAGAAAACATCACGTATAGGTTTAATCTTCAAAAGAAGTATTTCAGTAAGTATATTCCTTAATGCCCAGAATGATACCCTTTTTAGCAGGAACAGAAAGAGGAGACGAATGTTTGATAGTTGAAGTGCAGGACAGCTTCTTTGGAAATCTTTGTGATAATTTCTTGTGCCAGATCTCCAAGAATAAACAACATTATAAATCTGAATAAGTTAAATCTGCTACTACAGTATATACAGACTGCTTCAGTCTGTTGTTAATTGGGACTAGCCACACACTAATACACTCTTTAAAAAATTATATAAATTTTTCTGCAAACTAAATATTTACTGTATAACACAGAAGATGGAACAAAAAGTTTTCTGCATTTTAATTTATGTTAGCAATTTGCTTTCCTTTAATTGCATTTATCTTAGGCTAGCAGCCAGGTGGCCGAGATTAACTATCTGCTACTGCTCTCCGAACAAGATCTACTTTATTAATATCAAAGGGATGACAAAGTGCCTCTCATGACACAGTACTGAGCATGTGAACTGTTACTTTTTCCAGGTGATTTAATTTTAAGTACATGAAGATTCCTCAATGAGAAGCATCTTAGGAAGTTT